CATCCCTGTCTCAAAAAATCCTGACATCAACTCATCACAGCTAACTTTATATTCCTTCCAATGGGAAGCTTGTGAAGTGGCTGATGTGAGATTGAACGCCTCAAATGCGCAGGGTAGGATATGCCTTGATCTTGATGCAGAAGTTGAACTTCAAACTTTTAGGTCCATAAACTTATCTTTGTCTCTAATTCCTCTGAGTTTTATTTGATTGTACTTCAAATATAGATTATTGTACCTTTATGCTGCTTTCTTGCACAAAGTCATTCCTGGCACTTTATAGTTCTGCCTCAGGTGTGACAGGTGGGGGAAAAAACCTTTAAAGTGCAATTAACTTCAGAAAGACAAACGATAGCTGTGACAAGTGCCTCCATCCCTCTCAATGGCATCATAATATAAAATAAGGTTTAAATGCAAGTAGAAATTTGTTTGTTATATCTCTGCCCACAGTTTCAGTAGCAGCATCTCAGTCATGTGTATTATGTTGCTGAATAGGTTGTTTGTTTGGAAGATTTTTCCCTAGGGATCAGAATAAGCACAGAAATAAGGTGATCGCTCTACTTGTCTCAATTCCTAAGAAAACAAGGATTATGTGATTGATTTCTGCTTGTTTCCAACAATTTGTTCACAAATTGGCAAATTTCAATTAAATTCAATGGAAGAGTAAAAACCTCAGGGCTACTCAGGTCTTAAAAATGTCTTGGAAATGTGAAAAAACTGTGATCTGAGTTGGTCTCATCCACCTTTGAGACATAGATCCCTGGGAAAGACAGCTTCACCTGTTCTGCTGGGATGTACAGGCACCACAGCAGCAATAGCTGCAGCAGGACATGTCCCTGAACCAGGGACATGTGACCTGAGCCCTGGACGAGGCTTGAGAGAGGAGCAGGTGGTGGGAAGGTGTGCACAGGGCCATGCACAGGTGTCACAGCCTGCTGCAGCACAGGCACAAAGCAAAGTTGTTTTTTTAAGGGAGCATATTACACTTTGGCTTTAACTGCCTGAAAGCACTGGCTTGAGGGTGGCCTTAGCTGTCCTTCCACAATTTGCTGTATCGTAGAGATCGACCTCAGAGGAGAGCCCTTTGATTTGACCATCAAATGCAGGTCATTCCTCATGTTGCCCTTTGATCAATGAATTCCTAGTTTGGGATATCACATTGCTCTTCTGACAGAAGAGGCATCAGAATAAATTGTTCAAATACCTTCTTGTGCTGTAAACAAACAGCTTTTGAAAACAGGATCACAGAGCTGAGGAAAAGATTCCTTCAGCCACATGATCTCTTGTCCAATTTCTTCAGTTCTCAGTAACCTTTTTCACTTTTTACAGCCTTAGCTATTTCCTTTAACTACACTTGAGCTCCTACTTACAGCAGCCCACCTCTCTCCCCTCCTTCGCCCTCCTGCCTTCTTTGAAGACCTTTTTGAGAGAAAACCACATCCTTACATTACTCTCATTGTTAGAGCCTCCACCAATGTTGCTGTTATTGTTCTTCACTACTTTTTGATAAAGCAGTCAAGCACAGCTCTGAACCTAGACTGTTCTTCAGATGTTCCCATCTGCAGGTGTGCAGACCATCCCAGTAAACTACATTTTACATATGTTTGAACTAAGTTTCCGTTAACTACATCATATATATCTCAAAACTGTAAATTATTCCTTGCAATAAGTGCAAGGCATTGGCTGTCACCTGTTGCAAAGATTAACTATACCAGAACTAGCTATTCGTGATGGGTTGTGGAGTAGAAGCAACTTCCCAACTAATGTTTTGCTAGGCAAGGCTCATTGGATTTTTTCATCCGTAAATTAAAAGTTAAATTGTGACATATGTGAGAGTCAAAAGCACGTGTCAGCTATGAATGCAAGAGGGAAATACCTTCAGTAAAGGTGCCTCATTTTCTTTAAATGTCTCTGGGTATTCAGGGGAAAATAACAAAGCTATAGCCCTACACAACAGAGAGCCAAAAACTTGAGAATGCTCCAGAGCAAGATAGTGCATCAGTTTTCTTGGCAGCCAGGTAGAAAATTGTGAAAGACATGGAGCAGAGTCAGATGCTCCTCTCCTTAACTTAACCTCCTTAAGTTATGTCTTGTACTGCATTGTGAGCCTGGGTCTCTATATGAGTAACCCTGACTGCTCCCACTGCAAAGGAGCTATTTGAGGAACATTGGTAATTTCTCTCCAGTATTTTATCATGGAAGGGTAAAATTCTAAGGGTAAAACGCCCAGAGTTTCTCACCTCACAGCTACTCTCCCAGGTCAAAGTCCCTAAGGCTAAATTCTTGCTGAGATTGTGTTCAGCCTCTTTTCTTTACCGGTAGAGGAAACAGTAATATTTTCAAGGTGATGACATTTCAATGAAACCTGTTGACTGGGGACTAAATCTTTACTGTAAAAATGTCCCTGTTGCATACATTGAGATCAGTCCATCCCAGAGTCCAGTAACTACAGGGAATGCAAGAGCATGCTCCAGAAAGAGGAACAGGGATAACTATGGAGAGACTTTCCCTCTATTTTAGCCTCCCAGCATTCAGCATAACTCCCTCAGGAAGAATTAGATTTCTAAATCACTGATGAATCAGATGCTAACTCAGCCTATACCATGTTTTGTACAGTTAAAAATGTCATTATGTTGATTACAAGCTGCTAAAACAGTAGTCGTTAATACATCATTATATATTGTCCCTTCTTTTTCTGTCCCTTATGTTTACCTACTCCCTATGACTTCAGTGAATTGAAATGCTGGAAAGCCCTAATCCCACAAAGTGTATTATAGATCCATTCAGAGCAAACTCCTCATGTCAAACCTGTCAGCAGGAACATTTGACAGACCTGACAAACACCAAAGTACCCACCAGCACAAAGATCTTTTATGACTGATCTGAAAGTACTTTAAAAAAGGGTCACTGCCATCTCCCCATATCCTGTGGGGGGCCAGCAGAGCCATGGTTCAGTGTCACCCAGCTGCAGAAGTGGGGCCAGGGACAGCCAGGGTGTCTGTGTAGTAGCATTTCATGCCTGCAGTTCATTGCCTGCCATCTACCAATCAGCCACAGAGAGCAGGTCGGTCACACCAGCAATCTGTTTGGAGTTGTGTATCTAAAACTTATTTGTGCAGCCTTACATAGGCCTGGTCCAGAGCCTGGTAAAACTTAAAAGCTTCCCATTAACCTGATCTAGCTTTGCCAGATCTCCTGCACAACGCAGGAGAGACTGAACAGCTAACATTTATTGTCGAAGCCACTGCTCTAATCACAAGCCAAGGCTGCAGCTCTGGTTTAGTTGGTCAATAAGTCTAAGACAGATCAAATACCAGCACAAATTCTACATACTAGATAATAATTTAAAATATATGTATGTATTTTAATGCCCAAGATTCATTACAAGTTCTAAACCAGTCTCTTAGGGAATCCCGCTTCACAGTGATAGATAAATGCAAGAGTTAAGGTAATAGCCAGAAAGTCACTTAGCATTTTACATATTAAAAACCCCATAATTTTCTGGGAAAGAGAAAATTCAGCAGTGCTTATGTGTTGCAAGCGGTTTGGCACATAAGACACTTAAGTCTCCATCCAGTTGTTTCTACATATTTAATTCATATACCAAGTTGAGGAGTATCAGCTTTGGGTCTCTCCCCTCACAGTCTGGGACTGGCTGTGCGTCTTTGGCCACCACAGCCGTGCCTGTGGCTAGCAGATACAGCCACATCCTGGGCAGCTAACATTGCAAGGGATCTTGGTTTTCAAAGCAAAGCCAGCACTTGAAAATCTCACCCTTTTGTGGTACCTGAACAGCGATGGAGCATTTTGGGAAGGCAACCCAGGCAGTGAGAGGAGAATCCCAGGTCTTGGCATGAGAGCTGCCCCAGGAACTTGCATCCTCCAAGGCAGAGCTGGGAGCTGCTGGGGTGCCTATGGGAGTCAGTACCCGGTGGAGACTTCTTAGAAACGCTGCCAAAGCGGGTGAGTGAGCGCTTCACACTGAGCACAGACATCAATCATCATTTCCTTCCTCTTTTCCAGAGACAGAAACAACCACCACCAGGCCCATGCCCTGCTGCTCCACCCCTGCATGAACATACCCAAGGTGAGAGAAGCAATGACAGAAACCCAGCCTTGTGGTGGTTGTGAAAGACCTGAGACAGATATGTCACTCATTCACTTCTTCATAACCAGAAAGGCAACAACAACTATTATTTTGTTAGCTGTTAACTGATTCACATCTCATGCAAGGCTGGAGGCAGCTCCCCACGCTCAGGAAGGGATGGACACAGGATTTAGCTTGGTCCTTTGAGACCCCAAAATGTAGCAGCTGGAGTCCTGCAACATGCTGTCAGCACAACAGAGCCTGGATAATGACTTGGAGACTGACACTGATTTTAGAAATGGCACACAAAATAAATCTGTTACTGCAAAGGCACCTGCAAGCGACAGAATTCTGACTGCGGCAGGGCCAGCTCTGTTTGCAGAGTAGGGCAATTGCCTATGATGCAGGTAAGAGGAGCCCTAAGCAGCATCTCTTCTACCCTGCTGAAAATGTAGGGCTGCTTAGTAGTGATGCTCTTCTGCCTCCTGAGTAACAGCAGCTGTGTTGTTGCACCGTGATGGAGCAAGAGGTCCAGGACAGGCGAAAGGCCCCCATAGCAGTAATTAAGCAGTTATACAATATAAACATCTACATATGCAAAAAGGTTGCTCTGTCCTCAATTTTGTTTTCAATAGCTGGCTGCTCAGAGCACAAGGTGAAGGGCACACAGGTCAGTTAGGACAGGTACACACTGAACTTTTGCACTGATGACAGTGAAGGAAATCTCTGAGACATAAAATATGTTTTCTCACATCCAGAGACAAAAATTCTTTACTGTCATTTCAGAGCAAGGAAGTTTGGCTTGTTTCAGAGGCTGAACTGACTTATTAATTGAGTAAAGGTAGTTAACTTGCTCACTAAGGCAAGAGCAGACAAGCATTCTGATGTTCTGAAATGAAGTTTTTTATTCTTTGTATATTAACCTGAGCCATGTGCAGCAGAAACGTTAGGAGAAAGTGTTAGACAAGAATCACTTCATTTATTAGAAATTATTTTAGTGGCTGCATTCACTTAAATGCCATAGTAATACAGGAAAGGCTGAGATGTCAGTGTTAACATTTCTTTTTCCTTCATGTCTGATCCCTGTGGTGACTTCTTTTATAATGGAGCCACATATAGCGTCCTTTAAACACATTTTCTTTATCAACACAAGCATCAGGTAGTATGTATTCATACACTTCAGGAATCGCAGAGTACTGACAAAAATTGCATAGATATTTGCAAACTGTTGATTGCAAATATCAGGCAAAACAGTATCAGTTATATTTAACAGGCTTGAATAATGTTCCGTATGAAAAACTGGAAGGCAAGATGGAAGATCTGAAACATATTATTATTATTTAATCTTATAAAATATTGATATTGTACACTGCATATCAATAAGTTTAAAAAGCCTGGGAAATCTGTGTTTAAAATAATGCAACTTGTACTCCCCTCATTTTGCAAATTACTGAAGGAAAATCCTTTTTTTTCCTGCTATAAAAATACTTTCTAATTTTAATCACAACAACATATATATTCAACTTTTTATCTGACTTGCAGAATTCATTAAAGTGATCCAAAATAACTTTTGCTGTCAAAATGAGAAGTCAGACAGTGATGAAAATAAATAACAATGCTATTTCTTCTCTCATTTTAAGTTCCAAGTGTTCTCTGGTTTTTTTAAACTTTTAACCTATGCTAATAGCAAGCAAAAATAAGATTAGCAACAGAGTAACGAACTGAAAGGGATTGATTTGAGAAAAAAGAAGGAGAATATTTGGGCAAGCTCTCTTCCCTCAGCTGAAAGCTTGACTCGACTGAGGCAAGGCTGCACATTGTTTTGCTGTTTTTCAGAGCAAAAGAAGTTGAAATTTCACATGTGTCATTTGAATGTATTTTGAATTCCAGAGCTGGATTTTAACCCCTAAGCGATACCCAAGGACACTGTTGCCCAGGTAAACATAAGCAAAACTACCCTGGTAGGGTTTCACAGGAGACCTCAGCAGTCCGTCATTGTTCCACCACAGGCAACATGGATGCAATTGTGCAAGCCCCACACCCCAATAAGCCATTTGGCCAAATTTTCATCTGAATTCCGGTGTGTCCAGATTTCAGCCTCTGTATTGGGGTTGTCACACTTCTTGGGCACATCAGTTGTACAGCTGCATAATTACAGGCACTAAAATATATGTGCTTTACAGTTGGTTCCCTGCGAAAAATGTGGTTTAGCTTTGAGAGTTTCAAAATAAGCAGGCTATGAAAATTTGAACCGTTTTTTTCACAGAGCACCTAACCAAAATCCCACAGTTACTTTATACTCTTTCCAATTTGATTTTAAATATCATCTGGCTTTCAGTGGTCTCACACCTTGCGCTGCCTCTAGGCACAATCAAGAGTGCATCAAGCCATCTTAAATTCCCTGTGCATCCTGTATCATCAGCTCAAGCGACTCAATGAAGCCTCTCCACTCTGCTTCACTAAACTGCAGCAAACACTGAATTCTTAATTTTGTAGCTTTGTGAAGCTTGTTATGGTGTGATTTTGGAGCACACCTTTATCTGGCTTTGTCTGAGACAGCAGGTCTCTGGAGCCTTCTGGTCCCTGAATCTGGTACCCCGTGGCAGATACCACAACACAGCATTCTGGCCTAGCGGTTACTGCTCTTCAGCACATAAAAACATGAACTGTTGTAACCAAACCTTAACCCTTGAGATTAAAAAAAAAAAAGACCATTGAATAGAGCATGCTGGAAAAATATGTCTCAAAAAATGCTGAAACCAGGTATTAAATCTGTTAGTGGAGTGGGGAACATAACAAAAATGTCCCCAATAGTAACAGGCTTGAAGAGTCGTAACATGACATTTTGCATGCAATCTTTAATGTTCGAACAGTAACAATGAATACTTTCAAATTATGGTTATAAAACCCAGGAGTTTCAGTGAAGAGGCACTGCAAAAGCTGAGATATAGAAACATATTTCTCCCAAAAGCCAACAGGTTTTTAACCAAGGACCGCAAACACTCAGGCACTTGCGTAACTCCACTTAAGTCCAATGGCATTCAAATTCTTTTACAAATATGTCAGTTTTAGTGTTTCCCAGGCAAAGGACTTGCAACCAACACCTGAGGAGAAAGAGAAGTAGGAAAGAGAAGAGTTCAGGAAAGACGGGTGGTGGTGGGAGTCCTTGTCTTGTGTGCACAGGTGCAGAAGCTTGAAAAGATTTAAAATTGATATAAAAACCTCAGATGAGACCAGTATATTTTTATGACCAGAAGCCTCCCTTATAATCAGGTTGATAAGTGGTAAATATTCAACAGTCTAGGAGCTGGTGGGACAATGACATCAGGTGTCCTGTGCACCACTGGTATTCAAGGTTCCGGCAATGCAAATACTTGCTCACCTGCATCACAGGTGAGATAATCCTAATGTGCTATGTGCCATCTTTTATGGCACCATGCTATAAGCCCCTCAAAGGTCAGTGCTATAAGACCCTCAAAGGTAAGCTCTATAAGCCCCTCAAAGTGAGCTAGTTGAAGGACAGGGAAAGGGACAAAGAAAATCTTGCTGTACTAAGATATCCCCCAGTGGATTTCCTCTGTGGGCAGCAGAAACCTTGGGATGAGACAGATCTGCAAGCCCTCAGAGATGGTGCAGGGCAGAGGGGATAGATAATCTGAGGGGGAGGGGAGTGCCACAACTCACAAGGAATGTACAACAATGTGTGTGCAGCCCACTCCATCTTCTAGCAGAGTTCTCTAACATACCTGGAGTTTCTACCTGCTTAGCCTGACTTTCTGTGCAGGAGGGTAACTTGGCCCGAGTAGGTACGTCAGGATTTGACTCTTAGAATTGACGAGCTCCCTAGGATGCAAAGCCTGTTTCAATCTTCCTTTGATACAGCCCAGGCAGTTAAACTTAGTATGCAAACTCAAAAAAATATATTGTTTAGCCATTCTAAATACACAAATTAAACACTGTCATGTACTTAATTTTTTACTAATGTAAGTGACTGGTTTCGCTAAACCCACTGCGTCAAAAAAAAAGTGTACTAAAAATATGTGAAAATTTTAGTGCTCATGAAAAAATAGCTTTCATCCCTGGAGACTAAAATCTTTTGTGTCCAGAATTACAGTAGGCACAGCAGAAGTGATGGTAGGTAGCACGGATTCATCTCTGCCACCCCAACCATATGCCTAAACCAGCCCTGACTGCAAGCCCTTCTGGGGTTGTAACCCGGTGAAGTCTAGGAAGAATCAGATTAGTTTTCCATGTTTGACCACATTGCTGAGGAACAAGATGAATGTAACAAAATAAATCTCACAAAGCTGCCAGACAGCTGTCAAATGCCACTAAGTTTTGATCATTCCTGTACTGGATTTGATGACTGTTATGCAATGACTTGGGCATGTCTAAGAAGTGCTAGGCTTCCCTGCAGGCCATTTCTGACATGGATAGGACAATTTGCTTCTGTGGTTAGCTAAAGGGAAAACCTCCAAAATACAAAAACAAACTTTCAGGATTTTAAACAATGTATACAAGAGTCCTTTAAATAGAATACACAGTGGTCAGATTTTATATATCAAGTTCTTAAAGAAAAAAATCCACATGGACAGAGGTAGGGGTTGATCCAGGCAGAAGTTCATCATTAAATAAATGCAGATGCAGACAAACCATCAACTGAGGAACATCAACAGAAACAACAACAAAATCAGCACAGCTGTTATCTGCAGATCTCCAGGCTAGGCCTGCTCCAGTCCAGGCTAGCAAAGTCCAAACACAGGCTTGTGAATAAGGGCGGGTACCTGCACCTTTTGTTTTTCAAGGTAGTGCCCATGTGTGTTTGGGAGGAGAGAATCAGATAGAGAGTACATCTGTCTCATGAGGCACCTGCGCTGTGGTCCTGCCAGGAGCCCTCCTTTGATTCACCTCCCATTCTCTCTGCCACAGTATCTTTGTGTGAGAACAGAAAGAACGAACATGAGCAAAACCACTGCTGAGAGTCCTCAAAAGATTTTGCACTCGTTAATGGAGAAGAGCTTCCGCCTGTTCCGCCTTTTGTCTTGATTGACTGCTGTCCTCACAGCATACTCAAACACCTGCTGCACCCCTCGGTTGCTGAGGGCAGAGCACTCCAAATAGCCTTTGGCTCGCACATCCTGGGCGAGCCGCTTCCCATCTATCGGGCTGATGCAGGAGGAACGGTACGGACCCGTGTCACGCTGGTCAGTCTGAGTGGCCACCACCAAAACGGGGATGCGGGGCAAATGGCTGCGGATCTCACCGATCCATTTGTTCCTCAGGTTCAGAAAGGAACTATGGTTTGCCACTGAGTAGCACATTAATACCACATCTGCCTGTTGGTATGAAAGGGGGCGAATGCCTTTGAAGGCATCACTGCCAGATGTGTCCCAAAGGCCTAAGCTAATCTGCACACCATCCATGAAGACATCCACTCCAGTATTTTCATATACGGTGGGTCTGTAGTCATCTGGAAACATCTCAGAGGTGAAACGTACCAAAAGAGATGTTTTCCCAACCGCAGAGTCTCCCACCAGGACACATTTGACTGAATCCAGCATTTTATTAACGTCCAAGGCCAAGAGCAGTGTATCCGTGCAACAGGAGTGGGATGGAGAGATGCAGTGGTCTCAGAGGCTTTCTAGATAACTTCCATTTAGTGAGAAACCATCCAAATCTCTTTACTTCTTATGACTTGATTTTGCCACTTGAGACTAAAATCCCCTTTCGTCCCACATGGCTCTGTGGTGCTGTCGGTTTTAAATCTTCAGTGAGTCAAACGACGTTTCTGGAACGGTAAAAATAAAATGTAACATTTATAACCCACAGTGAACAAACCATTCCTCAGCAACATAAAGGTGCTTGGACATGTCTTTGGACAGCCATGAGGAGTACCCGACTGAGGATGATGAACTTTGCCATTCCCTCCCAGTCGGCTCTGTGTAAAACAGTCATTTACATAAACAACCTTCTTGCTGCTCCACAGGGGCTACCAGTCTTACCACCATTGCCATTTTCCACTGACACCAACTATTTTTTTCCCTCCAATTGTCTAAAAAGTAATAAAATTAATTTAACTTTGGTTTAACTGCTACTAACCTGCTTTAAGTGAGACATTTCCTGTCTCTGACTTTCACCAACACTGACAGAATCCTGAATCCTTAAGCGACCAATTCAGATTCTCTTGAAAATGTACCCATGCTTTCCAGGGGTAGTCAAGAGAAAAAAAGTCCTTCACTAACCAATTCGACTGTTTAAGCAATCCTATATGGAACAGTAACACAGAACCACTTGTGATAATGAGGAAGCAAAGACTTCAGGTGTGAAACTCAAGCAACATGAACCTTAACAATTTTCAAAAGCAATAAAGGATTCACAGGAAAAGTACATTTAAAATTAATTTTTTTCTTACAAATCACTTTCAACAAGTAAGAAGCACAAGTCATAGGAAGCCCCATTACCTATACTTTTCCCAATTAAACCGTTTTATTTGAAGGGGACTCAACTGCCCTGACATTTACTTTCTTGTAAAACTGAACTAAGAGTACCTCTTCAGAGTATGTAATTGCTTTTGAGCTCCTGCCAGCATTCAGTCAAATTTTCCTGTTTTGAAAGTGTTTGCCTCTTCCCCAGTAGCTGTGTGCAAGACTCACTGCTCACACAGGGCAACACACAAGATGCTCCAAAAATCACTAGCGGCAAAACTGAAGGCAAATTAGTTCTGCTCAACAAAAGTAATTTTAAAAAGTATCACTGCATAATTTCAAAACGTCATGTGTATGTTACATAAATAATATATTTCTGTTTCCTTCATATATGAAGGGAGTCACCACAGCAGAAGGTTATTTGCTCAGAAATTAATGATGGCCACTGTATGTTACTTGAACACTCTCCAATTTCAGTACCCTAACGCCACCGCCCCCACCCCTCACACACATTCCTAGTACACATAAAGCTTTGGTTTACTCCACAAAGGGGAAAAACAAAGGAAAAGGAAAGTGCTAAATGAGCTTAGAGAGAACATTTTAGAGGCGCTGACAACGGCTATTGGCAACTCATCTGCTTTCATTTTGCAGCGAGGCAGCGCCCTACCTCCTCTCGCGTTGCTGGCATACCTGCACCTCTCCCCCGCGATGCACCAGCTGAAAGATGTGCGGCCGGAGCATGTTGCTTTATAGAGGAGGCACCAAGCCTGCGGGGCCGTCCTTGTGCGTACTTGAGTTACCGACAGCTACGGGAGGCATTGCAACAGATGGCGCTTCCTGGCCTGCCAGCGCGACCGCGCTCTCACCATCTCAGCTTTTTTCTAGGAAGTGGGATGGAGGCCTAGGCTGCTTCACGACATTCCTGGCTGCCGGGAAACAAGCTGCTGCATGACTTTAAATTTTGGTGGCAGCAGTTGAAAATTTGCTCTTAAAGATTCATTAAGTCTATCTCCACTCTCTCACCCTCTCCATCCTCCAAACAAGCTCTCAAGGGAATTAAACAAGACCTTTACAAAATACATCTATGAAAAATTCAAACAGTATATGTAGGATACACAGTCCAGTTGCTTAAATGCATCATCATCTCTCCTTCAGGGTATTCTACTTAAAATTTTGTCAGCAGTACAGTTTCAAAACACCGCAATTCACTACAAGCCAGTAGCATATTATTCAGACAAAACTGCATGCTCCCAGGAGAAAGTTTCCATGTACTAAGTCTCCTTTTCAGAACAAACATTTCTTTGGTGCAAGTGGTCCTTAGTGCCTTCAGATTCATTATTTTGTGTATATGGGAATGTGGGAGAAAATAAGGATATCCAAAGCATGACTTTTGTAATTTCTTAAATGCCAGAACAGAGAAAGACAGATAAAAGGATTGTTCTGGTACTCAACTTGTTGATTACCAGATTTGATTATACTGGCTATTTTGAGAGAAAGTATATAAATGATAAAAACCTGAAAGAGAGATTAAGGAGTAGTGAGTATGGCTAGTTGATACACAATAACAAAAGCTGAAATATTCCACTGTAACAGTGTGGAATTGTTTCCAAAGCAAATGATATTGTTCTACAATCCATTGATGAATAATAAACCCCCCCTCAGAATATAACTAAGTCCATATTCTGGTCCTGTGGACAAATTGCCCTCAGTGGCCCTGATCTTGCATTTGTTCATAACCACTTGGAGTTCATGTGCTTCCATATATAATTGGTACTACATATGTGCATATTGAAGAATTATTTTTAATTAAACACATAGCTGGTCCTTGTTGCAGCCTCAGGGTAAGAGCAGTATTAGTGTATTAAAATAAGTACACAACTTCACCTCAATTGACTCTCGATTAAACATTAAAAAAAGGCTTTAAAAGGACGGGCCAATTTTGGGTACTTCTACACCTCAGTATTCAACCAGTTGTGTAAATATTTGCAGAAGTTTTGGTTCCTTTCTCTCATATTCTGTCTTGGTCTGACAGAACAGTGTGCTACACCCATTACAAGACTGCACAAAACCTTCTGATCACAGATCAGAAGTGGAGTCTAAGGTGCTGATGGTTTGGGGTTTTTTCCCAACAATTTGATCTTCCAAATTTTACCAACTTTATTATGTTCATTTTGTATCTGGAATTTCAGATATAAAGCTGTATCTTCTTTTATGTTTTTTTTGGTTTATGCTTTCATCACTCCTAACAATCGAAGATATTTGAATAATAAGGTAAGACCTCTTATAATATCATTAAGTATAAGAATGCATGTCTTATTCTTGTGTAGTCATTCTGAGCAGTGCAAACTTCAGATTTTGTTCCCTCTGTCTTTGGAATATGTAACCCTGGCTCTAGTATGTGATTACAGAGCCCTCGGACCTCACTGACTATGTGAGCACAAGAACCTGTACAACAGTCACTCTCCAGGCACTGTCTGACCTGCACCTCAGCAATCTCATGCAAGTAAAATGCTTCAGACTTGATCATGGCTGAATATGATACAGAGGAGGTGAGTGGTGTTACCAACCTGCAATGTGATGGGAAGGGGAGCACAGCAGCACCAAGCTCTTTCCAGGTAGAGGCTTCATATGAATATACATCCCATGAAAAACTAATGTAGTATTTGTTGAAACCATTCTACCAACAAAGGAGAGCTGGACTGCTGTGTCAAAAGGCGTAAGTTAATCAGCTGAAACAAACAGGATTTTCATTTATGCCAAGAATGCCTCTGGCATCTACTATAAGATCATTGTGAGCATGGCTCACTGTGGCTAAACATCTCCAGGGACAGCATCTGATGACAGGAAAACAAAAACAGCCAGAAACTTCTAATTTCAAAACCTCTCTTGGATATTGATAGTGCAGCCTCAGGTAGGCTGATATTTGAAGGGAATTAGCTCATACGTAAACAAATCACGCAGGCAAGATGACAGGCTTTTTAGATCAGGCAGTCACAAAATGCTTAAGAGAGTTGAAGCAATTAACATGCTAACTATTATTGCTATTATCCAGTTCCTACCACAATTATATCTCAGTGTAGCTCCTGTTAATATCAGGATAAAAGCAGGCGAATTTTTCAGTTTGAGCACCGTGTATACTAGTTCTTGAAGAGATCTGACATTGCAATGAAATAAAATATTTATACTAACAGGAAAGGTTGAAAACCACTGGAGAGACTTCCACTTGCTGTGCAATGCTTGAATGTACATATTGTCTTTCCCTGTTTACACTACTCCTGTAAGTCCCACCTCACAGAGAGGTTGGGTCTGCAAAACAGTGCCTACAGTTCTCTAGTGTGTTGATTGTAACTAGTTCTCCTTCTAACTGCACCACAGGTATGTCAGAACTCTCCTTGCATCTCTTAGTAAGAGGCTGTCGAGGAGAGGAAGGACGCATGAAGACTACCCTCACGGACCAGAACAGTGTGCAGCTTTACACCTTCACCTCCACGGGTGCAGTGGGCACTGTAGGGCACAGACAGGGCCTGAGAACAACTCCTGCAAGTAGAAGGAGAGGAGGGAGGAGGAAGGCTGGTAGGAATCAAGACAGGACAGAGATGCTGTTGCCTGGTTAGTGACAGCATCCAGAAGATGCAGACCGTGTAACAGAGAAAACATGGCTGTTGTGAATCCAGTCTGGATGTTCAGCTAGATTACCAGGTTGTCAAGGTCATGCTACCTTGTTTTCAACTCTGTGGATGAGGTGTACTTGCTCCATTCAGATACAAACCTCTAGACTGCTGCCACAGCACAGGGCTCCTGAAAACTAATACATAAGCTGCAGTCCGTCTGGAGGCTGCAGCTGGTCTGCAAGCAAAGGGCCCCTTGCTGCGAAGTTTCCCATCATGAATTCATTAAACTAATGCTCCGACTTTTGCATTAGCTGCCTCCTGCTTTTTTAATTCCTTTTAAGACTATTTTGATCTATAGGACTAAGAGGCCCTGTCTTGCCAATCAGCCTCCCACCACCTCAGTGTCAGCATTTCAGTCAACAGTTGTATTCAGTTGTGGTACCACTGCTATGAAAGCACAGCCTTTACCTTTGCAACGTGCTGCACCTTTTCCACAAACTACTCCACCAAAAATCTGCATTCAACTCATTCGCTTTCCAAGCAGGGTACCACAGGGGCCATCTCTACTCTCTGACCCAAGAGCAAGATGGCATTATGCTTCAGTTATCTGATATATTTATAATACTGATGGATTAATTGCCATGCTATCTTTCAATATGGTTTTGTATTTTAAAGAGTTGAAAGAATGTTTAGAAGCTTAGGTGAGAGCTTTTATATGGATATTTTATCCTTAAGTACAATCATTTCTGCAA